GCTGGTCCTGGCCGTGCTCTGTAGGAATTATGCAATTAATGGTTTCCTTGTCCATGTCCAGTGATGCAGTTGTAATTTTATAATCTTTTTTTTTTGCTGACTTACTTTTGGAGCTTGGAGGCATCAGACAGCAAGCTTTGAGGGAGAAAACATGTGAGGTTCTCCTGAGATACAAGTAGGTGATGTTAATGTGTTAGATTCATCCAAACCAGGGAGTTTGAGACTGGGAATAACTCACCAGCATCCCCTACACCGCTGGCCGCAGCACGGCCCGGGTGCCGCAGTGCCGACCAGCTGCCAGAACCACGCTGTGGCGGTTTTAAACCATTAGACATATGACTGTGGGTTTTTAATTACAGCCAAAGCTTTATCATAGGAAACCTCTCAGCGAAAGAGTGTGCGGCGCTAATGGGAACCGAAGCGTATGTGTTTTGTTTCCTGAAAATGGGCTTGTTTATTCTCGGTGCTGGTATCGGCGAGGTCTGTCTCACTGCGTTTCCCTTTGCCATCTGAAGAGGCTCCGTTGCTGCAAGAGCTGCAGAAGAGCTGGGAGGGTTACAGCTCCAAGAGACATTAAGCCGCCCGTTGAGGAGATGCAGCGTGATGAGGACGATTCCAGTGTGCGATGCTGATCCCGGCCTTTTTTTTTTTTTTTTTTTTCTTTTTTCTTTTTGAGAAAGGAAAGATCAAGGGATGCATTTAACAAAATGAGATGCCCTTTATGTCTGTACTCACAGGCGTCCCTCGTAGCTGTTACCATGAAGGGAGAACCTCATTAAGAAATAACGAATGGCCCTGCACGAGCTCCACCCATCTCTCGGTGCTGGGAAGCCTAATTAGAGCACAGAGATAACGATGGAGTGCTCGGATGAATTTGCATGGGACTGCAGTCTATATAGGGTATGAAAGTAATTTATTATGCTTATTAGAGGGAAGCTTTTGTCACTGCAGACAGAGCCCTGTTAAGACCCTTGGAGCTCCTGCCCCAACACCTGCGGCTCAGGGGGGGCTCACACCACAAATTACCTCCCCAGCCCCAAGAGATTCTTTATTCTGGTGTTTGCTTTGGGGTGGTTTTGGTAAGGTATCGAGCGAGTACCCAGTGGTATTTGTAGGGGAGAGATGGGTGCTGCAGAGTGTCACTGCGAGCAGCGTGCAGCTGGGTGGGCTTGGGGGTGTTTGCCCTTGGCGGGGGCTTTGCTCTGACCCATTGGAGGTGGCAATAGGGGGTCTGGGACACAGCGTGGGGCACCCCGAGGAGACTGGGTGGCCAGTTTAAATCCTCTTGAGGCAACTGGAGACTAAACCACGGCCAGCTGCTTGCAGGGTAGAGCTGCACAGCTCTGAATTAGATTTTCTGCCTTTACATTTTCCAGAAAGCAGCTTTGTTCTCCTCCTAAGCGAAAGCATCCAATCTGCTCCTTTAAAGCATTTTACACATCTTTATTATCTTGCCTCTTGTTTTTCCCTAATAAGAGGTCGTGTTGGGCTTGGTGGCCTTTCCGTGCTGCCAGAGGATGCTGAGAGCTGTGAATTGAAGCGAAGTCGCAGGGACCTGTCACTTGCCCACCCCACTTTGGTTAAAGTTCCTGACACGGGGATCATCATTAACGCTTCTCGCCTAATGAACACGGCTCATGAATGATGGCAAACATATAAACAGGTTTCATCAGGCAAACTCTTTCTGATTAAAACTGTGGTTTGGGTTAATTATGTGGAAATGTCGGTTTACTTTCACTTTTCACATTTTTTGACACTCTGCACAGAGAAAAAATGTTATTTCAAGAGTCTGGAAGTTTTTAGAGACATTTATGTGTTTACTGCTGCATGCCTGCCAGCAAACTGGCCATGAGCTGAGGGAGAGGTGTCTGACTGATCTTGGGGTGTTGGCAGAGCTGCAGCTGAAGGATGAAGGTACAAATCACAATTGCCCTGCTTGCTTCAAGATGTTTCTGCTGTTCTTCTGGCTTCAGTCATGACCCCACAACCCAAAAAGCTTCCAGTGAAGTCACCAGATGTTTTGCATGAGAAAGGACAGGGGAGAATCTGGGGACAAAAATCCTGTAGGCCCAAGTGGCTCATGGAATAGATCTTAATCCCTTGCCTTGAGCATCCTATTGCCGAGTTTTAGGCAGGACCACTGGCCCTTCCCCAAGTTCCGATTCCTAGTGAGCTCCAGTGTTGGCAGTGCTGGCAGCTGCAGAACCAGCTCAGACTCGGCTCTGGCTCGGAATATGACCATGCCTGGTGGGGTTACCCTACGGTTTGTGGCACACTAAAAAGGGGCAGTTCCTGGGGTTGCGAACGGACTGAGATAGCATCAGTGAAACCCAAAGCCAATGAGCCGATCTCTCCTGACAGAGAGTGACTCAGAGATACAAACCCACATATACAGCTCTGCGGTACCTTGCAGATGCTTCTGCTTCGTGGTTGCCATAAGCCTCACTCCAGGAGGAAAGCGGCACTGATAATTGGTGTTAATTGGCACTAACCATACCCTCCCATACCAGGGCTGCCTTGGGGGCTGGTGGAGTTTTGCTGTTTGCATATGGTTTGACCTGGGTTTGTGTCGTGCTCTGCAATCGCATGCTGAATAACCGTATACAGCCCATCCAACAAACTCTTGTAAAGGGCCTTTAATACAGCCGAGACTTTCAGCAGCACAGATAAAATGTAAACCAAAAGTGTGGGATAATAGCTCTGTTTTTCTGCAACAATTGCTCAGAAATAGACGTGAAACTACCCCATTAAATGCTCCAGCTCTATCTGCAGGACATCAGGAGAGGTCAGGGGTCTATTCTTTCTTATGTTGTTAATATTTTGGACTGAGCCATGCTTTGTGATGTAGAGGTTTGGTCTACAACGCATCTGCCTTAATGAACTATAACAGCACAGAAGGCAATTATGTTTTTGTCTAGACCTGTCTAAGACCATCAACAGCACCTCATTACTTTACAGATTGTTAATGCTGTTGGCAGAAGTTGAAGATCCTCCTTGGAAAAAAAAAAATCAAATTTATTCTCTGTTGCAACATACTTTAGCTGATGATAAATGATAAATAGGGGCTTGTGGCTAATTAGACCTCGCTTTGTCCAGAGGCAGATACCTAACCGTAAACCATAACCAGGATAAAAGGAGGAGGGAAAATGGCACAGAACTCACATGAGGTTTTTTTTTTTTAAAGATCATTAGAAGCTTTAGGAAAATTAGGAAACAGAATTGTTGCTGTTGTGTCAATGCATCTTCTCTGTGTATAAGGACTCATGGTCAACAGTTAATCATATTGTTCTTGAGACTTTGAGCACAAATTCATTATGTAGATCTATTTTTTCATTTTTATGTACATTCAAATCTGATAAGGGTGACATGACCCCCAGTGGAGCTTCCTATCAGCACTTTTCACAGAATCATCAAATCATGGAATGGTTTGAGTTGAAAGGGACTTTAAAGCCCATCCAGTCCCATCCCTATGCCACGGGCAGGGACACTTTCCACTAGCCCAGGTTGCCCAGAGCCCCATCAACCTGGCCTTGACCCTTCCAGGGAGGGGGCAGCCACAGCTTCTCTGGGCAGATTTTTTCTGAAATTTTCCAATTTCAAATAGGTGCTGCAATTACTCATTTTTTCCCAACATTTCCACCCCTGTTCCTATTCCCATCCCTCGTGGAGGGGCTGTGGGCCAGGAGAACCCAGGATGTGGATAGAGCCCTGGTGTGGGGGCAGGGACCATCCCTGGGGCTGGGGGGCCAATGCTGCCCAGCGTGGGGACCACCTGGGCCAGGCGTTGCGAGGTGAGGCAGAAGCAACTCGGGAGTAGGATCTTGCAAATAATTCAGGCTCTGTCAGCACAAACGTTGTGAGAGCAGAGATGCATGTTGTGAGCTGTCAGCTGACAGTAATGGACTTGTTAGGCTTCTGATTGATGGCCACGGCCTTGGAAATGGCCAGAAGCCATTTCAATCTCTGTCTGGCTCTGTCACAGCCATGCACGGGGGTGGGGAGAGCACTGGCAGACCACTTCGGGCAGCCTTACGTCTGCCTGCTCTGGCCTCTGCACTGCCCGCTGTTGTTCTTAGCTGCTACATGGTGCCTTCCAGTCATCAGCCACTACATCCAGCATTCAGCTACAGATATTAGCAGTTTTTTGTCCCACAGGTCTCCTCTGTCTCTGTCCATGGAGCAGCCCCTGAGGAAAGGGCACAAGATGCACCATAGAGGTTGATGATGAGTAAGGCTCAGTGAGAAATGTACAATAGGAGAGATGAGCGCATCATCTTCATCTTGAAGATGCTTGGTTCTGTGTGTTCTGACTTTCTAAATGTGTTCGCAGAAGAGCTGCTGCCCATTCCATGTCCCTGGGAGATGCACAGGGATCGAAGGCAACGTCCCTCTGACCATCTCTGTCACCTTTTAGCCCACAGCTGTGTTGTGTGCACTGAGACCTTCCTGCAAACCAGGGCCAGGTGCTGCAGGAGCCCAGGGGCTGGTGTTGACAAGGGGCCAGGCATAGGGAAGGGAAGTGAAGAGGTGGCAGGGTAGGCTGGGGGGCTCGGCTCAGAGTCCCTTCATTGGCAAATCAGCCATTTCACAGACTTGACCTGTCTTCACAGTCTTGGGACTGACCTCATTGGTGCAAGCCATGGGGTGAGGGGGGAGGACCTCGAGGTGCACTGATAGAATTGCTCACACCTGTTATGATGCCACTAAACCAGCACAGTGTGAAGGGCAGCGGCCAGCTTGGTTTTCCTGGTCCTTTCCCCTTAGCACAGGCTCTCTGATCCATCAGTCCTACAATGAAAGGAGAGAAATCCTACATGAGGAACCTTGGAGGAATCTCTAGTGCCTTGGTCAGGTTTGAAGGCCAAGCATCACGTTGAAGTGGTTATCCTACTGCAGAGAACATCTGAGCTCTCCTCACCTCTCCACTTTGAAGGGTGAAAATCATCCATTCTCATAACATCCACTCTAGAATTTACAACTACTTTTTTCTGGTTTTGTAGGATCTGGTGACTCTCAGGAAGTGGCTGGAGGATGTACCTGGGGGAAGAGGAGGCAGGGAGCTGGAGTGCTGAGCAGGTGGTCCAGCAGATGATGTCCTGGCTGTGGGCACTGTGGCAGTGGTGTAAGCAGGTAAGGGTGTGTGTGTCCATGGTAATACAACGTGCCCATCGCCTGGGCCTGTTGCCTGGAGATAACATTGCTTCAGTCCTTGCTGCACACAGCTGCAAAGCAACAGGATGGTTGTCTTGTTAAAAAGGTATGTTTTGATGGGCTGATTAATAAAGCAGAATACGCCTTCTCTTAGAGAAGTCCCTTCTTCTGTTGGTCAGTGCCAGAGAGGAGGGGCTGCTGGTATTAATTGCTTATATGAGGGAATTACCCAAAACAGGCTGATGATATTCTGATGGTTTGAAAGGTGCGAGCATCTACCCTGGAGATCATTCTGTCTGGGCAGATGGGGTAGGAAGTGTAAGTCTGGGAGATGTGTGACTGTGCACATGTTTATTCCAGAAGTTGGAAGCTTGGCAAATGACAAATGTCTTCATGTGGCCATGGATGGGAAGGGGGTTTGGCTTGTTTTCGCTAAGGGATTGGTCTCCATGCCAACGTCACTGCATGGGAATGCATAAAGAAGCAGAGGTGCGTTGTTCCCTCATCTTGTCTTTCGCAGCAGCTCTTGCCCTGTGTTTTGCCTCTCACCATTGCTCCACCATTTGCTCTTTTCCTTGAGGTAGGCTGAGCTTATGGAGGTCCCTTCCCTTGCCCATAGCCCGTGGCCGAGCCTGCCTGCAGAGGAGCGGGTTCTGCCCGTGGCAGTGCTGAAGTCCAGCACCAACCCATGCCCATCACCTTTCATCTGGGCTCTCCAGCGGTTGCTGGCGTTGGAGCTTGGAGCTCCTTTCTCTTGTACCATCCCATGGCCTGTGGGTGTGATTCAGCCTGCAAAAAGAGAAGGCAATTGCTGTTCTTGGGAGAACTCTCTCCATTTCAGATGGGACAAAATTAATGGCCCAAGGCAGCAGTAAAATGCTTCATACTGTGTGGTCATGGGGTTTCATCTACAAGGGAAACCTGTTCAAAGCAGAGCTGGTCTCGGGCATGGTTATTAGGATGGTATGGAGGATGGAGAGTTCATTTTGCTAGGGTAGACAGACATTTGTTTGCTTACTCAAGAAAAACAGCCTGTGGAGGAGGTTATGGCTGTGAGTAATAGATATACTGGGGACATAAGCATGAAGGAAGATGAAACTATGTAATGCAGACGTGAATAAACAGAGACTTGACTTCAGAAGGCGGCTTGCAGCCCTCTGAGAGGGGAGGCACTGGGATCCCCTCGGAGAAGTGTCAAGGTGGAGGCTGATAATGGGATTTTATGGCATGGCTGGCTGGGCTTTGTGGTCTTTCCAACCCTAGGTGAAGAAAATTGGCCTACGTTTAACTGTTATATATAGAAAGAGCTTGTTTCTGCTGTGCTGTGTGTGATGCATAGCCCTGGGGCAGAAGGCTGTTCCCTGGGGTTGGTAATGGCCAGGCAGGTGTGGGCAGCGAGGGATCACCAGCCCAGGGGTGCGTTCCCACCCAAGCCCCGGCATCAGGGCAGGAGCAGTCCCAGGAGCCGTGCCTTCCTCCAGCACCACAGAAAACCCCTCTCAAAGAGGAGCACACCCCAGGCATGGCACGGCTGAGAAGTCAGGGTTCATCACCCAGCCCGGCTGCGTGCCGAGGGGCTCCCCACCAGCTCCCCCAGCGCAGTGCCCCTCTCTGCCAGCAACCTCACAACGTCTGAGGTAGCACAAACTGTTCATCTCTGTGACCCTGATCTAATTTAAGTTGTTTATCTTAGCTGCAGAAAGAAAACTAGGGGGAAAAAATATAAAATCAAATCATAGTTGTGGAATTCATTGCGGTGTTTATTACCCTCTATTGTGTTATCCCCAGCCCTGATGCGGACCCTGCAGCCACGCAGCACTGCCTGCGCTGGGCTCTGCCGATGCACTGCGCTTTGACCTGAAGGGATCACTATGTCTTAGGTATAAAATGTCATTTTGTTCCCTCTTTTTCAATCTCAGGGCTCGTTTTAGTGAATGTGATCATTTTGAATTGTTCTCAGCAGTGAGGTATTTTTTTTAATGGACTATTGAGCTCAGATAACAAATTTAAAATTATAACACACATGACCTGAGCCAATTTAAACTTAATCTAAAATGCCGAATAGCTATTACCCCAAATGGCTGCAAGAACGCACACACACACAGAGTTGTTGTTTAAAGAAAGTTATTGCACTGAAGTGAACAAGGCCTCCAACCCACAAAGAAGCCAAAACCTCAACCAAGTACATTACTAGACCCTAGTGATTTAAAGCAGATTTGTGTGGAACAAAATCTGAATTAAAATATTTTTGTGTCTCTTCAGGCCACATTAAAAAGCAGGCTGTTTCAATATAAATTTTTTTGTAAATACCCTTTTTTCTCTAGGCTGCCATTCAATCACTGAGGCCTTGAGCTAGCTTGCTTTGGGATGAGCTCGTAGAAGATGGACATTGGTGCTGCAGACAGATGCTCACAGCCAGGGCACGGGGAGCTGGGAACACCCGGGGAGGGGCTCAGCCCCAGCTACAGATGCTCATCATCAGCATCCAAGGCCTTTCTGTAACCACCAAGCAACTTGATTTAGTATCTGTCACACGTCCATGGTCCTGTCCTCTGCCAAAGATTGTCCATGCTTTTGTGTTTTGTTTCGAATTATTCTCATTATGTCCAGACAGAGCATCCCCCAAGGTCAGGGGTAAGGAGGGAGCGCTGAGTCTTATGCATTGGGTCTGATCTCTGTATGCCTGGGGATCATCTCCTGGGATCTGAAAATCCGAGGTTTCTGTATCAACTGGGGCAGGTCAGGATGAGGCCATCACCCCAACTGCATTCGGGGTCACTGCTTTGAAGTCAACAACTGAAAGTGTGGTAGCAGCAGAAACCCAAGATGAGTGCCGTCGGGTCCAGAGCCACGCTGTGCTAACGGGCTGCTCTGGCATCAACCAAGCATCACCTTTGCAGTTATTAATTAAGATTTACCAGCTGCTCTTTGTCTCCTCTTGCCTCCTCCAGATACCCTTCCTCAGCCAAGCAGCTCAGGCAGAGCTCCTGAGGATGACATGGAGATAACACGCGTGGCTCAGCTCGAGGGAAAACTACATCAAACGCAGCTGGAGAGCTCTTCTTTTTGGAATAGTTGTGGATCAGAGGGTCCCTTGCGCGGAGCATCCCCCAGAGGTGCAGCAGACACGCAGCAGCATGCAGAGCGGTGCAGGCAGCTCTTTGGGGTGCAGCATAAAGCTGTCTCAGTGCGCCATGCCGGGGAGGCCGTGCCATGCCCGCGGTGAGCCATGCTGTGCCGCGCCGTGGAAGCAGCCGCGTCAAGCCGTGACTGTAAAGCCTGTGTGCAAGAAATCATCCGTGCTGAGTAAAATGACAACAGAGCTGTAATGCTTTGTGGAGTGTGTTTAATGAAAATATCAGCCCAGGCCTACGACATGAGGCATTCATGTATAATAAAATGAGGTTCCTGAAACACTTCAGAGCATAAACCATCTGGTCTGCTGTGATGTACTAACAGCTTTGACTAATTTTTAATGCAGGTTTTATGACGGATATGCACATCACACTACCCATGCATAAGGAAGATACAGCCTGGCTGCACTTTGAACTGAACTGACTGATGATGAATTTGTCTCCCATTTTAATTACTTTCTGTACATTAAAGGTGTAGTGGACCATGTGAAGTGCTTTGTCTGGCTTATCCCCCCCGTGTCCCCACATCTCCTTAAAGTGCCGGAGCTGCCTCCACTCCCTTATCTGCAGCCAGGCGTGCGGGTGGCGGAAAAGAGGGAGATCAGGAGAAAACTGCCTCGTATAGGACTTGGTCAACAAACACTCTGGACCACCAGCAACAAGCGCATTTCATAAGGTTAATTAGTTCTCATTAATTATGTCCCTTGAAATTTTCTCCAGCCCATATGGCAGGGATTGGTGCTGCCTGGTGGGGTTTGCAAGGAGAGCTCACCATTTTCTTCTGTGCAAATCAGAGCAGTAACTCATGGTGGAAAAGGCTTTCAGACTGCAATCTCTGCTCTCGGCTCCTCTCACCAGGATTTTTCTCTTTAATGAATTTTTAAAAGACTTTATCAGCTTCAAAACATACTTATTTATTTAACAGAACCCAAAAGCGGAACCATTTATCTGAGCAAGCCCCAGACATTCAGGATGGTGCTGAAATAGGGTTGACTTTACTTGGACCAAAGCCTTGGCAGGACTTTTGCCCATTTCTCACCGAATTTCCAGCCTGGCTTGGCTCTGCCACTCTCCTGATTTCCAGCAAGGCTGGTACTCTGAGGAGAGACCAGTTTTGAAAGGTGAGTATCTCCTTCTGTTGATTATTCTGGTAAAATTCAAATGACCATTTAATGCTTTAGGCTGGGAGGACCATGCCCCTGTTTCTTCAACTTTTCCCATCTTTTGTAAAAAAAGAGAAGAATGAATGAAGCTCAGCCAGGGCTGACGTGGCCATGAAGTCATGTCATTCCTTTCCACTTCCACCACGGCGTCTCTGGAACATCAGAGCTGCAAGTGATTTTCTTTCTGGGTTAGCGACAATGCCAGGATTTAATTTGTCAATTAAAACGTGTGACAAGACTTCAATCAATGAGTGTGAGGCTTTTTCTAGCTCCCCTTTCTCTCTCCTTCCACTGGGCCTGGAAGTGGACAGACCATTAATTGCAAATACATTATCTAATGACTTCAGTCCTTTGTTTATTCTGAAAGTCATTTGTGAACTGATCACGATTCCTCTCCCTGCCGTCATCCTTCGGGGATGAATGAGCTTTACTGTAGTCTGGGAATTTGGCTTTGGCTGTATTTTTGATGCTTGCATCGTTGTCCTGGTTTTACTCATCGATTGGCCAGCTGAAGCCTTTTCAACGGGAGAGGGCTAAATAATGACTAACCTGTCTCCTTAAGCGAGCGTCCAGACATACTGAATTTCACAAACCTTTTGGGATTCACCAGTATTTGAACAAGTAAGCCAACAGTTGTCCTGTTGCTGGAGACAAGCTAAGGCAATGTCCGTGCTGTGGGCCACCACAGACAAAATGTGGTTTATTAATGGGTATATCCACAAATCACAGCTTATGTTCTCCAAGTGGAAACTTAAATTATAGACTCACTGTAAAAAAAAATTAAAAATTCAGTAATGAGACTGGGCTTGGTGATTGAGCAGAAGGGAAAGTACCTACAAGCAGCAAATCAATTGCCAAGGACGGAAACCCCTCCAAGTGCAATGTGTTAAAAAGCAAAATGTCATTTTATTGGATGTTCGCTTCGTCTTGCTAACAAGCACTCTGCTTCATCCCCTTTTCCTGAAGGATTTTCATTTTAGCTTTTCTGCTGCATTCTCAGTCCCGTTGTTTCCGCAGATCTCCGAGCGAGTGTCTTGCGTAGCCTTCGTGGGTTGGTGGTAATGGGGCTGTTCTCCCATTAGCAGCAATAACAGCCAATTCAGCACTTAAAACCACGCACTAACTGATTTAAGCGGTTTCGTCTCAACCATACTCATTCACCAGGCACAGATATTAAATGCATCCCTGTCACTGCGTGCAGCTTCAGACAGCTGCTGCATTTGCATACCCTGTTCCTCAGTACAAATGAGATCCTGCTTTTGAAAGCTTCTTTGGGGAATACCTCACAGTTGGCCTTGTTTGTTTAGGAAAATATTTATACAAGTTGTTCTTTGAAGAGAAAGGCTTGCTGAGAGGCTTCCTGAGGAGCTGGGTGGTGGGGAAGGAGCACAGGAGCTGGTCCAGGCTGCAGAGCTGCCATCGCTGGGGCACCCACCAAGCTGGCTGCAGGTACCCCAGTTTTCAGGCTGCATCTGTGGCTGCTGAAGTACCTTTCTTCTCCCCCAGTTTGGCATCCCACTGGGACCACAGCATCCTCCCAGCCCTGAGCCCTGCATGTCCTCAGCAGTCAGGAAAAGGAGCCACCTGGGCATCCTCCACTGGGCATGGGCAAGTCTGCTGCTGGCCCCAGGGTCATGGAAATGTGGAGAGGTTTTCCAGAGCAGAAGGAAATCCTGGTGCACATGGGATATGTGAGCAGGCGGGGTGCCAGATGGAGCTGCACAGACCTCCCGGTGCATGCATTCAGATGCCTCCCCAAAACGGTGCCCAGAGCAGGTCCCCACACACTGTTTGAGGTTATCAAGGATGCCCAGGGCCAAGCACAGGCCTGGGCAAATTCTCCTGTTCCCAGGGGAGCATCCTGAGCACTGGCTGTCCCTGCAAGGGCCAGTCCAAGCACCAGTGGAGGGGTTTCACCTCCCTGAAATGGGATCCACAACATTCCACAGCACCTGGCACGATGCTGCTGTTGGTTTTGGAGGGTAGCTTTGAGAGTGGTTGTGTTGTTCCAGCTGGAATTATCCTGAGATCCAAAGTGACAGAAGTGATAAGCGATGGTGAGCCAAGGAGCATGTTCGGGGTTGGGATTCTTTGTTCTTTTTCCTTGAGAAAGTCGTAGTTGAGCAACAATAACAGGTCTGGTGTGGCTCAAACAAGTCCCAAGGAATTGTCCTCTCCACCCATCTCTGCTCTGAGCTTGGGGAGCCCTGACAGGCAGCCACGAGCTTGTTCCTGTGCTGCCAGCTCAGCTTGCAGGAGAGAGGAAAAACCATGTGCGTGAGTAATTTGGAGATGCATGTAAATGAGCATCGTTATTCAAATCAGTCCCTTTGCAGCTGTGGGTACAAGGCTGTACTGGGGGTGACTCTGGAGCGGTGCTCTCCTGCACTCAGGGTTCGGGCTGGAAACGGGACATTGCCTTGGCCATCCCTGGGACAGCACAGATGAGTACCTGCCCTGCTGAGGGCTTTGGCTGTAAAGCCGAGACTAAGAACTGCTCTGGCCTTGTTTCCTGAGAGCCCCTGTTCTCCACCCAAGGCTGTAAGCCACGTCTGACCCATTGACATTGGCTGGTTTTAGGTATTTTGTCCCATTCCCTGCACTGTGGCAGGGGATACTGCAGGATCTGTACGACTAGGATAAGGGGAAACTAGATCATTTTGCCTGGCCATTGAAAAAGACCTTTTTATTAAGTCAGAAATGTGGCTGACTTCTTTCCATCTGACTCGACGTTTCCTGTTTTCTTCAGGGACCTGGCATGAAAAACTCTGAACCACCACAGGAAGGGTCGTTCTCGCTTGTCCACTGAAATTCAGGACAGGCGAAAGTTTTCACACGGGTTCCCCTGGGATTCCCAGCCCAGTTTTGTACACACAAGTGGTTTAAATCATCCAAGCACTTAGCTGAACTGGACTTAATGTCCAACCCTCTTGAGATCAGCCCATCTCTATTTACTGCTCCAAATTTTTTATTTTATTGTTGGATAAGCATAATGCTGCTTTTCATATTTCAGAATTGCCTTCTCCTAATGGGACTTAAGTGTACAAATTTTTGTATATAAAATGTGCACTTCTCTGCAAGGAAACACAAAGTGCTTCACAGCTGTCTGGCCAAGCATTGCAGGGTTTGAACCCCTCAGCAGAAAGAGATGCTCTGAGATAGCTTGATAAAGATGTTTTCAGGCTTGTTTTCAGGCTACCGCAGTGGATTAAATGGGTGCTGCAGATCTTGGCCCAGTCCCTCCACTGCATCTTCTGGGGATGGAGGGACTGTCCAACTCCCCATGAACTTGTTGCGTGAAAACATTAAGAATGAACCCAAACCCAAGGCAACCCAGGGAAATTAAGGAAGGATGAAGGTGCTGGTGTCAGGGTGGGAATTTTATATCTGTGTGTGACTGTTCAGACTTCACCGGAGGATGGAGGACCAGAGGACGGGGCTGGTCTGGGGAGATGGTGTCAAAGGATGGAAGCAACCTAGCAGTGCTTGCTAGCAGTGTATGTCTTGGGGTAATATTGGCCTCAGATGGTTCAGCATTGGAATGAATTGGAGAGCAATCTATGTACAGGGAAAGTAGAGGGGTCAGAAAAAGAAAGTCACGATTATATGAGTATGTGGAAAAGTTACTCGTACCAGGTGGGCAATGGGAGGGAAGCTACGGTATGATAATAAGTAGTTATATATGAGATTTGGATAAGAAGAGTTCAGTTTCCATGGCTGTAAGTCCATGAAAAATTCACCCCAAAGCAAAAAAAAAAAACAAAAAAAAAAAAAAAAAGTATGTGTGTATTTTGAATGGATTACGTACAGCCAGAGTAAGTAGGTTGTTCGGGCTTTGTAATTTTATGCATTTTGATT